ACCCTAGTTTAATATTTAGTATTATATATAAATCCTGCCAACCTAGCAGTTTGAAAGCAAGAAATTGCAAGTAGATAAATAGGTACCGCTTCGGTGGGAAGGGAACAGCGTTCCATGAGCCTTGGCGTTTAAGTCATGCCGGCCACATGACCACGGAAACGTCTTCGGCTTGGAAACGGAGATGAGCACCACAACCCTAGAGTCAAATTCGACTGGCTTTCGAGCAAGGGAACCTTTACCTTTATTATATATAAAAGAGTTAATAATGAATCTTCTACTTTGAATTAAGGATGATCAGTGTTGTTACAGCTTGCTGGCTTGGGTAAACCAAGAAGGAAGGGGCCATAGAGGCCATCTAATCCAACCCCCTTCTCAATCCAGGATTAGCCTAGAGCATCCCTGGCAAGTGTTTGTCCAGCTGTGGTTTAAAGACTGCCAGGGAGGGGGAGCTCACTGGCTCCCTAGGTAGTGGATTCCGCCGCTGGACTACTTACTGTAAAAAAAAATATATTCCTATAGCCAGCCAGTACCTTTCTGTCCATTAAACCCATTATTGCAAGTCCCATCCAATGCAGCCAACAGAAACAGAATCTTGCCATCCTCTGACAGCCTTTCAAAAACTTCAAAGAGAACAATCATGCCCCCCTTTTTCTCCAGACTGAACATTCCAGTCCTTCAAGCCTCTCCTCGTAATGCTTGGTTTTCAGCCCTCCGATCACCTTCATGAATGCTGTCTTCTGTACCAGCTCCATTCTGTATTCATCGTTTTTTGAAGTGAGGCCTCTAGAGCGACACATAATACTCCAGGTATGACCTGACCAATGCAGTGTACAGCAAGACTATGACATCTTGTGATCTGTATGTTATGCCTGTGGATATACCCCAAGACCACATTAGCCTTTTTTGCCGCTGCATCACACAGAACACCAGTGATTTAATATGCTTGCTGGGTGACCATGGGCCAGTCGGTCTCTCTCCACCTAACCTACCTCGCAGGGGGGTTGTTGTGAGGATAAAATGGAGGCGAGGAGAACAATGTAAGCTGCTTTGGGTCTCCATAGGGGATAACTCAAGTAAGTAAATAAAGGAAAGAGACCCAAGGTTGCGGTCACACGTGCCAGAAAAAACGGGGGGGGGGGGGCTATCTCCTCCGTAGGAATTTGACCCGCAGTTGCACGTTCACACCTCTCTTTGGAGCTGCGGGCACAGTCTGTCAGTGTGTGATCAAAAGCGACTGCAGGTGAGTCGGGGTTTCTTTTTTGCCATTTTTGTCCCATGCGCTTAAACGAGGGATCAATGAATTGCACCTCTGCACTGAGGGCTCCCTATGGAGTTTGCAATGATGCACATACTGCAAGGGGGGGGGGCAACAGCACGAAGTCTGGATGGCCTGATCAGACCATCCCGATGCTATGAGAGCGTGCTGGAGCGATCGAGACATGGGAAAGTCCGTCCATGGCCTGTCACAACCAGTGTTCCCTCTAAACTAAGTTAGTGTGAGCTAGCTCACAGTTCTTTAGCCTCCAGCTTACACATTTTTGTCTTAGCTCAGGAAGGAGGGCTCCAGAGCAAACTAGTTTATGCAGTAGCCAAATTTCTCGCTCTCACCTTTAATCCCACTAGCTCACAAAGTAGAATTTTTGCTCACAAGACTCCACAGCTTAGAGGGAACATTGGTCACAACCCGTTTACTACCAGATTTTCCTCGGTGTCTTTTAACTCCGCTTCTGCGGCGGAGCAGAATGGGTCGCCGACAGCTGCGGGGTGCTTCCAAGATGTTGTCTGCTCGCGCCCTTTAAATCCGCCCGGCATTTGCACCTAGTCGGGTCTAATTGTGCGTATGATCACAGCCCAAGACAGGCTCGGCTCAATCCCCTTAACTGACACTGCCTTACTCTCTTGAAGCACTATATGAAATTCCTTTCCAGGACATAAGGCTGGCAGAAAAGGATCAGAATGGTTACTGGGCAGATGTCAGGGTTGCCAAAATGGCCCACCACTCACCCACCTAGGGTTACCAGCTCTGAGTTGAGACATACCTGGAGATTTGGGAGGTGGAGCCTGAAGAGGGCAGGGTTTGGGAAGGGGAGGGTCTTCAATGTGGTATACTGCCATAGAGTCCACCTTCCAGAGCAGCCATTTTCTCCAGGGGAACTGATCTTTGTCGCTTGGAGATCAGTTGTAATCCCAGGAGATCTCCAGCCACCACCTGGGGGTTGGCAACCCTACACCCACCAACATGACAGCTGTGGCAGCCACACGGCAACCAACATGCCCTCCCTCAGCTCTCTGTCAGAGGAGCCAAGGGAGGAAGAGAAGTCATGTTCCTCCTCCTCTGCTGCCACTGATGGGCACAGTCACACACACATACATGCTGCAAAAGGAAGGTAGTAGCACAATGTGGATCTTCTTCCTTCTCCTGCTCAGAGAGTGGAAGCTGGAGAAGTTGCCAGCTCTGGGCTGGAAAATATCTAGATATTTGGGGTGTGGAGCCTGAGGAGGGTGGGATTTGGGGAGGGGACAGACCTCAGCCAGTTTGGTGTAGTGGTTAGCAGCGCAGACTCTAATCTGGGAGAACCGGGTTTGATTCCCCACTCCTCCACATGCAGCTGCTGGTGTGACCTCGGGTCAAAGTTCTCTCAGAGTTGTTCTCTCAAGGGCAGTTCTCGAGAAAACTGTCTTAGCCCCACCTACCTCACAGGGTGTCTGTTGTGGGGAGGGGAAAGGAAAGGAGTTTGTAAGCCGCTCTGAGACTCCTTTGGGTAGTGAAGGGCAGGGTATAAATCCAATCTCCTCCTCCTCCTCCTCCTCCTCTTCCTCCTCTTCTTCTTCCACATAATCCAACCTCCAAAGCAGCCATTTTTGCCAGAGGAAACTGATCTCTGTAACCTGGAGACCAGTCGTAATTCCGGGAGATATCCAGCCACCACCTGGAGACTTGCAGCCACACAATAGCCACTTGCCTGATTTGGCCAGTGGCCTATCGTAGGTCAAAGCTGCCACTGTCTCCTCCCTTCACACAAAACTGCCTTAGGCCGAGTTTGACCCTTAGTTTATCAAAGTCAGTATTGTCAACTCTGACTGGCAGCAGCTCTCCAGATGACAGAGATCAGTTCTCCTGGAGAAAATGACTGCTTTGGAGAGTGGACTCTACAGCCAATTGTCCATCCTGCTTTAGATTAGTCATCTGACAATTTTATAGTTACACAGTATTTTATTATTTTATCTGTAAATTGTTATTTTAACAGTTTTAATTGTATGTTTAACTGTTGTACACTGCCCTGAGCCCATTGGGGAGGGCGGTATATAAATCGAATAAAATAAATAAATAAATAATTATACCCAGCTGAGGTCCCTCCCCAGGCTTTAACCTTAAATCTCCAGGAATTTCCCAGCCCAGAGTTGGGAACACAGACTATCATGGCTCCACATCCAAAATTACTCTTTCTGTGGCTTTGCTGGCTCACATTCTAGATTGAGAGCCAGTTTGGTGTAGTGGTCAGGAGCGTGGACTCTAATCTGGGAGAACCAGGTTTGAGTCCCCACTCCTCCATA